TTGCTCAGTTTCATTGTAAAAAAGGGGGAATAGTTCACAATTTTTTACAGTTCACTGAGTGAAATTATATTGTTATGCAGTTAATGCTGTTATACAGTGCTGTTATACAGTGCCCTCCATAATGTTTGAGACACATTTTTCATTTATTTATCCCTCTGCTCCACAGCTTAAAATTTGAAATCAAACAATTCAGACACGGTTAAAATGCATATTCCAGACTTTAATATAAAGCTATTTGCATACGTTTTGGTTTCACCATGTAGAAATTACAACACTTTTTATACATAGTCTCCATCAATTCAGGGCACCATAATGTTTTGGACAATGGGCTTCACAGCTGTTTGCAATTGTTCTGGTGTGTTTCATTGCTTTATTAGTGCATGGATAAGACACCTAGGCTGGCTTCTACCTTGTGGAATCTATAGCTGCCATTGTTCAACACGAGGAGCAAAGCTGTGCCAATGAAAGCCAAAGATACTGAACTATTATGAGGCTGAAAAACAAGAATAAACCCATTAGAGACATCAGTCAAACCTTAGGAATACAAGATCAGCTGTCTGGAATAGCATTCAGAAGAAAGAATGCACTGGTGAGCTCAGTAATCGCAAAGGGACTGACTGGTAGGCCAAGGAAGACCTCCACCGCTTCAGGAGGCACGTGTGTCTTTGTCAGAGACTACTACCCGCAGAAGACTTCATGAAGAGAAATACAGGGGCTACACTGCAAGATGCAAACCACTAGCTAACCACAAAAACATAATCACCAGATTACAGTTTGGGGGAAAAGTACTTAAAAGAGCCTGCAGAATACTGGAAAAAGGTCTTGTGGACAGAGGAGAAGAAGATTAACCTGTGTCAGAGTGATGGCAAGAGGAAAGTGTGGAGGCGAAAAGGAACAGCCCAATATCCAAAGCATACCACCTCATCTGTAAAATATTGTAGTGGGGATGTTGTGGCTTGCACATGTTTGGCTGCCTCAGGTACTGGCACACTTACTTTCCTTGATGATGTAACTGCTAACGGCAGTCGCACAATGAATTCTGAGGTGTACAGAAAAATCTTATCTGCTCAAGTTCCAGTAAATGCCTCCAAACTCATTGGATAGCGCGTCATCCTGCAACAAGGTAATGATCCCAAACATACTGCTAAAGCAACACGGGAGTTTCTCAAAGCTAAATATGGAGTCGATCCAATTGAGCATACCTTCCATATGCCGAAGAAGAAACTTAAAGGGGCAAGTCCCTGAAACAAGCATGAGCTGAAGATGGCTGCAGTAGAGGCTTGCAGAGCATCACCGGAGAAGATACTCAGAGGGGTAAATCAAGGAAAAATGTGTCTTTGTCCCAAAACATTATGGGGGGCATTGTATATATTCCTATCCATCCATCTACAATAACCTCTTATCCTATTCAGGGTCATTGAAAATTTTTGCACCACCTGCTGTTCTTTGCATGCATATTTCTACGAAAGGATTCTACATACAGCCCTATGTTGTGCAGCATGACTGAGTTTATGCGACAGTGTTTGAGTTTGTATCTGTGTGACTGTTAATCCAAAGACTTTCTATCCCACTGCGGGTAAGACAAATGTCAGGCATTTCTACTGCATTGCCAGGGTCAAACTCCCCCCCAAACATGCTGTCGGGCATCTCCCATCAAGCTGATCTCCTACTCTGTAGGTCAAGTGTAGGCAAAATACTCAACATTAAGGCAGAATCATCTAAAGGTCAAAGGGAGTATGTAACTTGGGGGAGCCAGCTCTCTTGGTTTCCAAAATGTCCCAACACCAGATGACTGAAGCCACTGTTTGTGTGGCACCTCACCTGGCCGATAAATAATAATGATAATAATTGGTGATCCAATCAGTGAATCAATCACACCCAAAAATGCCAGATGTTGCTTAATTTTTCCCAAGAATTATTATGATATTAGTGCTCTGACTGCAGGCGCATGATGGACAGCTTCAGCCCCTATGGCCCTGGCTGGGCATGACTGACCCCCTCTGGCATGATTTAAAGACAACATGACTGCACTTTCAAGTCTGCTAATGTATAATACATGATTGTCACTTATGGTCCACTATAGTAAGTCAGAGATATAAACATACAAACTGATCCCAATCCAGACTTTGGTCCCATTAAGTGACATAATACTCCGCCGGCTATAATTCCGCACATTGCTCTGTGTCTTACCTGAATTTCACGTGACCTTTACCCTGATTACTTCCGCTATGAAATACCTCATATGTTTGCTGTTACAGTATTATCTTTGGCACTTGGCTCGTCATCACAGTCCTCTGCGGCCCTGATACGGGGGTCACATCTCCGGCACCCTGTTAGTAATGCTCACATTCAGCCAGAGAACACAATTTAAAGCTGCAAATGCCTCATCTCCCACAAGACACATGACGAGCAAGATTGAGGACAAATGAATAATTGAATTTGGACCTGCTGTGAGTGCAGTTTTAATACAGGAACTGCCCAAGCACCCTCAACAATCAGCCAGCAGCGTGAGTGACAGTGCCTGTCCCCAGTGATAACACAGGCAGGAAATGAGCAAGGTGACAGCACTGACAGCTTTATCAAGGCTGCATAGATAGCTATATAATCCACGGCGTCCCCTCATTCACACACAGAGTGATGGATTACACATCCTGTCGGGTGGCCAGAATCTGACTTCTTTGAATTACGCATGACGGGTGCATTTATGACAGGAGGCTAATTCAACTATTAGAACATTATGAGGCGGTGGTTGACAACATTGACGCAGAGTGACGTCTGCGGAATCCGTGGGAGGTGCTTGTACATCGTGTATATATCAAAAGATATCAAAATTAACCAGGTTCCCACCCTTATATTAGCTCACAGAGCAATGGCTCACGCAAGTTCTCACTTAGATACAGCTAACAGGATGGAATTTTCCTTAAAACAAAAATAGTGAAAAACTTCAAGTTGAGGTTGAGGTCCATTTGTTTGTGATCTCATGATAAATTAAATGTCATTGCCATTCTTTTGATATCAGTGTACATATTCGGCAGTGCTTTTGTGAGGAAAGTTTGGGGCCAGAGAGGCTGCCAGGGGCTCAGTGGTGATGTCATTGCTCCGCTGGCCAGGGGATTTGAACCCGCAACCTGGAAATGGGCACAGATCCCCTCACTTGCTGAGACACACACTGCCCCCAAATAATATGGATCAGAGTGTTAAGACATATTTGATCGGGACAGGAAATACCATCATAGTGTAATACAAATGACCCTCTTGTTTGCATTTTGTTCCTAATTCAAGCCTAACACTCATACGCCCTGTTTAAAATTAGAAACACACACATTTTTAGTCCTCTGCTCTGTTTCTTTCTTGGTGGGGGGCTGTTCCCCGCTGTGTAAAAGCTCCACGGTCTGCTTTGTCACTACAAACCTGTTGCCCCCAGGTAATCCCTGTCACCTGCTAATGATGTCCACATGGCGGGCCACAGCCACGTCTAGACAGCCAGGTGCTGCCCCTGACCCCATGCGGACCCTGGACCTGACACATCCGTCCCTTTTCCCGTCTCCAGTTCTCCAGTATGAGAGGCACAGTGGCTTCCAGGAATATTGTCACACTGTGAGGGTACATCAGCAGTGACTCTCTAGCACGCATTCTGCTTTTATCTGAAATGTGTGGAATATTTTGGTTAAAGTGTCTTCTGCGGGTTTCATTGGCTTCCTGTATTCATGCATCTGTGGATGTGTGTTCTGTAACACTATGTAGCATGAAAAGCTCATGGATTCTCATATGTATAGTGACTAAATTTCACTTTCGGTTGCACTTTAGGATGCTTTATGCTACTGTTTGCACCTCAGTTTTGTTTGCTCACCTCAGTACATACAGGGCCAAACTTGTTCTTTGGCTGTCATTTATTGTTCAGTTATTAAACCTGGTCATCTAAGATGGTTTCATAAACTTCGAACCCTTTTCTAAAAAGTAGAATAAAAGCTTTTGTAAGCTTTTCAGACAGAGACACTGTGTGTTTTGGTTTTCAGGGATTGTTGACAGGAAAAGCCGTGCCAAGATCAGGTACGCGAAGCTGTGCAGATCTCACACGCGGAGCTTCATAGAAGGTATGCTCCTTCTACACGGACTTCAGGTGGGGAGATGCTGGGCTTGTGCCTGCTGAATTACACATCCCTGGCAAACATCTCCTGACATGTGTCATCTCCTTAGAATCTGGGAAGCAGCGACGTCTCGGGCATTGCCCACCATGACAGCCTGGGGGGCGGCACAGATGATCCCTCTGCCGCACGCACGACCCAGACACATGCCCATTCGGCCTCGCTTACGGAGAGCCAAAGGGACGCAGGCCGGATGTCAGCCGCTGTCATGGTGATCCGCTCAGCATGGAAGACTTATACTTCAGCTGATGGTTTGCAAGCCATGGCATTCTAACAAAGGAACACAGACAAGCACACACACAAACAGACCTATACTCTTTGTGGGGACCATCCATTCATTTCTATGGGCAAAACCCTAATCCCAATAATGACAACCTTAACCCCTCCCCAGCCCCAACCTTAACCATAAGTAACCAAACAGAATACAAGTCTATTGTCATTTTTAGTTTGATTGCTGGGACAGGTTTTTAATTGAAATCCCCCTTGCGGGTACCGAAAAAATTGTCCCCACAATGTGAAAACAACAGGCTTTTAATCACATTGTGGGGATATTTGGTCCCCACAGTGCAATATATACCTGGACCACACACACAGGCGTGCATACACACACACACACACACACACAATGTGTAAGAAGGGATATCGAATAGAGGCTCTACTGTAGGACCTTTTTGAAAGGCACTTAACATGGAATATCTCCAGTATTCAATAATAGATAATCAGCTGAAGTATGCATAGTAAAATATAATTACCGACCAGCATAAAGAAACCACATTAGCTATAAAACATAATAATATGGTGGATGACAGAAGTGGATTGTGGATGAGCAGAGTATGAAAAACAATCACCAGCGTGTAGCACTTTATAATCTTTTATTCAACCTCATGGAATGAGATCTTCTACAATATTATCAAGTAGAAGACAAAAAGGAAAACTGCAGGTCACATTGACAAATAAATACGCCCCCTCCACTCCCCTCTGCTACATCTGATGTCCAGCAAGACCCTAGGGGGTGAGTACAAGCTCATGTTCATGATTGCAAAGCTCTCCTCTGTCACTCTCCCCATACAGCACAGAATGCCAGCCAGCCATCCTGAAGCACGCTGACATCAGAGAGTACTGTCAAACCCCATAAAGCGTTTCCTACCAAATTTACAGTCTCAGAAATAAGAAAATAAACAGCTGAAGGTGAATAAAACTTCATAATGTCAGGGCTGAGTATGGGAGAGAGAAGAAAACGGCTGACAGTCGAGGAAGGATGGATGGATGGATGGATGGCATTCTTCTGTGAGGCAGAAGGTGGAGAGGTGAGAGGGGGAGCAAGACAATAGAAGGGCGGCGGGGCACGTCGAGGCAGGCGGCGGCAAACTCAGATTCTCAGCCAGTACATGCTGCTGCGGACGCGGTTGTAGTCAGGGAGCTGCTCGATGGGACCTGGAGGGGGCAACAGTGAGCGCAGAGCTCACAGCTCTATCAGACATACGCGGGCAGACACCCTGCAAATGCCTCGCAGTCAACATGTTCATGTTTAATGCATACACACATGCACAGCTCACCACTGTACGCACACACACACACACACACACACACACACACACACACACACACACACACAC